TTTAATTATGTATTGTTCTTATGTGTCATTGTTTGTATCCCCTTCCTCATGAGTTGTAAGCCGCCCTGAGTCCCCCAGGGAAAAGGGCGACCTATAAATAAACATTCAAATTCAAATTCAAATTCTGGCATAAGATGTGTCCTCTTTGGTCTTCTCATCTGGCTTCACCCTCATCTCCCTTTAACATACCTGCCCCCAATGGGAAATGCTCTACCAAACAGGAAAAGACAGTGGACTAGGGTCTGACATCACTCAAAATTGCTAGGTGCAAGAATCTATTTTAGTTTCTCTGCATTGCTTTGTCTAGCTGTACTCCCACATTTTCTTTAAATTTATTGTTTGTTTATCTTGATGTAAGCCACATAGAATTGCCTGAATTATGAAATGGTCTGGAAAGAAAAAAGATGGGGAGAAGAGAAAGAGAAAGAAAAAGAAAGAAAGAAAGAAAGAAAGAAAGAAAGAAAGAAAGAAAGAAAGAAAGCTGCTCACTTCCTAAGTGATTCTGAGAGGCTCATAATAATTGCCCATATTCTGTTTGGACAAGATAAAAATAATTTGAAAGGATGAAACTTGGGTGGTTTAAAAACTGAAAAGGCAAGAAATATTACAGTATTTGAAAGAAAGAATAGCAGCCCAAAACAAACAAACATCCAACTGGAAGGAATAGTCAGATTTTCAAGGCTCATACAGAGGAAATTTGAATTTATGGGGAAATTATATTCTACAGTAAAGGTGCTGTTTTGAAGAAGCACCACTTTCTTGGGTCTACTAGATGATACAGTTTAGTTCATGGGACCTGAAGATTCAAACACTGATCCTATAGGATGAGTACAACTCATGGGAGGCAAGCAGTCCCTCAGATAACTAGAACCTATGACATATATGGCTTTATATCACTTGGATTTGCATCTCAAATCCTATTAGAAACCAGCACAACTCATGGATGTTACCTGGGTTGTAATGAGAACTGCTCATACCTACATTTTGGATTGTTAAGCTTTCTAGAATAAATTTCTGATTAGATCACTAAAAATGCAACTTAGCAATGGCATCGCGCATTATGAATGCAGTAGCTTTCTCTCAGAATATGGGTTGGATCTATTCGAACTGTTTAAAAGAACCCCAGGAATCAGGATAAATGGCTGGAGGAGTATGATGACCTCAGAGTGAGACTTTCAATGCTAACCAGCAAGGCTATTTTATTTAATTTTTTCATAAATATATTTTATTGCCATGTTAATGCTGCTATTATGTCTTTTCATCTTTCCATACTCAATATTGTTCAGAGAGCCCATGTGAATGGGAAAAGATCTGGCTATGCTTAAGTCTCCTTCCATTCAGGGTCAACTCTTGATGACAATACAGATACATCCATGTAGTGTTCTTGGCAGCCAAAAAGAAATGCTATTTGGTTGTCTTTTTCTGGGATATTTTGCTAACTTCCTAGCCTGTCTTGTAGGCGCTGAAAATTTTTGGAGATCTCCCATCCACCCAGGGCCAGTCTCATTCAGCTTCTCTGGTCAGCCAAGGTTGCCTGGCTGTACTACTAGTGTTGCATTTGCAGGAGATGAAAGAGGAAGAGGAAGAGGAGGAGGAGGAGGAGAATGGTCACAAATGTTTATGGAGATTCTCAGTCATCCAGGTCATGGTTGTCCCAAAGGTGCTTTTCAAAAGGCAACTGGGCTTTCTTAATTTTTACCCTTAAAAACGGTTCACTTCTCATCCAAAGAGCTGAACTGAAGAAGGATTTCGTTTGGATGAGAAAACGAAACATTTTTAAGGGGGATAGACAAGTCCAACCGCCTTTTGAAAAGCGCCTTTGGAACCATGGTCAGACATCCTTGCCAAATGTTTTAGGGGATCTGTGGGCTCGTTTTAATTTTACTGTTGATATAGTTTGAGGGTTTTTTGTAATTTTTACTTGGGTCGTGGGGGCTGCCCAGAGTTTGGTTTAACTTTAAGATCTTTAAAAATATGAAATAATTACATCCTGCGAGCAAGAAGAACACTTGGCCGAAAGAGGGAGCCGCTCATCCAAGGAGCAAGGACCCCACGAGCGATTTCTCGCCCAGCAGCGCCCCCACGCGCAAAAATAAAAAAGGCGAAGGCGGAGCGGTGGGAGGGCGGGCGTCTTGCAGAAGAGAAAGCGGAAGCGGCGGCGCAGCAGGCTGCCGCCTCTGTTTCTGCCCGTCCTCCCAAAAGCAGAAGGACGATGGCAGAAGTAGGCGGACGTGCCCCGACGCCCTTTAACCACGACCGGCGCCTGGGCGAGCTGGGCGGCGGCACCCAAGCCTCGCAGCGGCTCTTGGCTTACAGCGATGCGCTCTTCTCCATCATCGCCACCGTCATGGTGAGTCGGAGGCCGCTGCGCACCGGCCAGGCTCTTTACTCCTCTTCCACTGGGAAAGGGAGCCCTGCATCCCGGCAGGCGGGAGTTCAACAGGCGTGTACTTGATCCACGCAGGATGACGTGCCGAAAGAGATGGGTTGGTGTTGCGCGCCCGGTTTTTTTTCTCCCACCTTGTGCGTTGCAAGCGTTGAATTCCTGTGTTGTGCAGATGCAAAGAAAATAAAATCGATCTTCTATCTTATCTTGCAGTACTATAAGACGGCAGAAAGGTTGCCCACTTATAAGTACTGTAAGATAAGGTAGAAGATACGGCCGGTAAATATCCTGGAAGGGGGGGGTGAGGTGTCCAACTTTGCTGTGATGCACCCACTGCAAAATGTGAACTTTTCTCCTGCAATGCATCAAGCAGTGGTTACCTTCTATCTAACCTGAAGAAGTAGATTTGTGCACGGGTGTACTGTGCTATGCAACAATCTTCCTCTTTAACAGTGTGAGAGAGGTTTTTATACAGCTTTCTCACTCCGGTAGACATTTAAACGATGCGATCTCCAGTTCAGTTCATGTCTTGTCGCGTTCGGACATCAGCATTGATGTTGTGATGTTATGTTCTGGTTTTGGTTTCCAATCTTCATTTACAAAGATGAGACACTGAGTATGTTGCTCAGAGGGAGAGGCTTGTAAATAAATCAGCATGTCATTGCTACGTGAATTTTGAGAACCCAGACTGTATGGTTGAGTGTATATTATGTGAATCCAAGCTGTAGAGTTAAATCACCAAACCATATTTCACTTAACAAAGATCCACAGGTTGCATGGTGAAGTCCTTTATATACTTACTTTTATATACTTTAACCAAGATCATTATCTTGTCAGGATGCTGTCATGCTAGAGACAGTATATAATCTTTTAAATTAAAATGATTTTGCTTATGGGTTGCTGTCTTTTACTTCTCCCTAAACTCCCTTTTGATCCTTTTCCATATTAATTTCATCTTTCATTGTTTCTAAAAGATCAAAGTTGTTAGTGACTAATATTAATGTATACAGGATATAGTATGTGGATCACTGTGTGTGAGTTGGGTGGCTGTATAAATGTTTAATAATATATGAAACACAGATTTGTTTATCAGATTTTTGGCTGGACACTGGAATGGGTAGGAGTGATTGCATCAAGATAGAATGGGGTGGACAGCTGGTATTAGTTGGGAAAAGAGTCCATAAACTTCCAAATCTTCAAAAATTGATACTATCTTTGATGCATTTTTACTTTAAAAAAAATTCTAGTGTCTTAGCTGAGGAGTAAGTTAATTCCCATCAGGACCAAATGGAGCTCAAGTCTTGGTCTGAGAAAGAAAAACTTAAGTCAATCTCCCAGCAATCTTGTAGTTGAGTCAGTGGGTCTGTTTCCATTTTAACTAAAATTGAATATACAGGTTATCCTCATTTAATCTCACACAGTATTCTTACCCTTAGAATTCCTAAACCAGCCATGCTGGTTCAGGAATTCTGGGAGTTGAAGTCCACAAGTCATAAAAGGGCCATAGTCCCCCATCTCAGTCATAGAGCAGGTTTTCACTTACCATCCGTTTCACTTAATTGATTTGCTTGTCACAATTTTGTTAATTAATTGAGGATTACCTGTATCTTGGACTTTACCCTGCCAAAGCCTCAGTTGCAAAAAGTTGACTTAAAATCAATCAATCTTTCATTGCAGCATTCTTAAAAGCTGTTGGTATTTTAAAAAAATGGATAATAAGCCATTCATTTAAAGAGAGATTCTTAAGTGCGGTCATTTCATCCATATTAGATGGCAGAAGAAAGTTTTGGATATCATTAAATCACATTAACCTAAAGCTCACTACTAAATCTACCTATCTACCACTCCCATTCCTGGCATTTAAACTTCCTTGAATAATGTACACATTAAGTTAAGAAGTGCCTTTATGGGAACGTAGTACTATATTTCTACCGGTATTTGGTGCTTATACAGGCCAAATAAATTGAAGTCGGTATTCTTGGATAGTAATTAAGACAAATGTTTCTAGTAGCAGTCTTTCATACAGGAAACTTAAAGTCCAGCCAAACTTTCTTGTGACAAGATTCTACAAATATCTGGAGTCAATAGGACTATTGTTGTCCCTAACTGAGGCTGATGTTTGGACTGCATGGGCAAAATACATTTTAAAAAGTCTTCTTTTTTTCTATTTCTTTTGCTTCTTTCTTGCTCTTCTTTTATATCATTTTCTTTTCATTTCTTTATTAGTATGTGTTAATTTAAAAAAAAAAACTTTTAACACACATTTATAAAAAATATTTTAAAGGGGGATTCTTATTATTTTGTAATTCAGTCATTGAGATTTGTCATCTTAGAAAATAATTACTGTTAAGTATCTTCAGCAATTCTGATGCAATCTATCATCCTTGCCAAAAAAATATTATATTCCATAAAATATTTATGTGGAAAGCTGTAAAGGTAAGTAAGATTCAACACATGAATTTCTGCTTTTGATTTTTTTTCAGAAGCATAGTTGTTTTCTGTACATTGGTTTCATGTTTGCAAATTAAAACTTGCCTGTTACTATAGCTATATGATTCTTCTGTTGCAGATTTTACCTGTGGCACATACAAAGATACATTCAGATGAGGTACTGTACTGTTTATTTCATATTCCACATAATGGTCAGTTGTGATTCTGTTAAACAACTAAAGTTGAAGTTTGAATTTCCAATAAGGTTGTTCTAACATAGTGCGGCATGCTGTTATAGATCACTGAAATTCAGCCTCTTTTTATCTGCCAGGCCCATGGTAGGTAAGCACAGTACGGAATGCCATAATCTGTTGGCCTAGAGGGAAATCTCTTAAGTATTGTTCTCATCAGACTGTGAACCAACTTTGCTTATTATCTCGCTGATATATGCTGGGGATGAAAGTCCATTACAAATGATAGCAAAGAACAATAGGTTACAACATATTTTTCTCCCCCTTAATTCGTGACCATTTTTGACTACTTTTAGCAATGTAAGTTCCCCAGAGGAATGTCTATGGAGAGTCTCAGTCATCCAAATCATGGTTGTCTCAAAGGTGCTTTTTCAAGAGGCAACTGAACTTTCTCGTTTTTGTTTGAAGAAGTTTCACTTCTCATCTAAGAAGCTTCTTCAGAGCTGATCCAGATCCAGCTGAAGAAGCTTCTCATTCAGAGCTGAAGAAGCTTCTTGGATGAAAAGCGAAACATATTCAAACAAAAACCAGAAAGTTTAGTTGCCTCTTGAAAAAGCACATTGGGGTTCCTTAGAGGAATTGTATAATGTTAGGAAAGGGGCTGAGAATTTCGATGTCAAGTTCATGGCTGAGCATGTCAGGAATTAAATAGATAATAATTGTTTCAGGAGATTGAGCTTTTTGTGATATATATTTCAAAGTACTGTACACAAATAGTAGAAGATGCTAAAAGACAACGTGGTATTCTAAGTAAGAAATTTGAATATTCTTTACTTACGGTACTTAACTTTATTGCAACCTTTAAGCAGCCCAAGAGAATTGGTATTCAAATATTCAAAATATTCAAAATGAAATTGACAATGCCAAGATAGTTAAGATAAAGATACAGACAAAAAAAAATGGCTAAAAGACAACATTAAATAAAGTATGCTAATAGGCTTGTTCAGGCTACACATACACAATAATTAAAATTAGCAATCTGAATAATATAAATGTAGAATAGGAGTACAAAATACATATATGCATATACACAAACAAGGTCAACATAAAATAATTTGGAAATTGCACTGAATATTTGAGTCTACGGAACTTTCCAAAGCCTAGGGATAATACAGGATTGAACAAAAGAGAAGGCCTATCATTAACCATAAGCTTTATTTGCAGTTCCTGAAAATGAAAACACAGTTTATAAGCCAGTTTGAGATTTATAAGGATTTATCCAGTATTTATAGACAGTATGAGTTCTTATTAGGTGCTTTTTGTATTTTGTGAGCTAGGCTAGCTTTATGTCCTTGAACATAAGTTCTCCCCTTGAGAAGAGACCTTCACTGCTTTAAAAATAAAATAAAGATCACCTTAAGAATTATGTATTATATAAAACACTTTTTCATACATTTATTTATTTGAAAAAGAACTATGTAGTATTATACGGAAGAAGAGTTTGTCAGCTTTTTGATGAATGTTTTGCCTTTTTTTCCAGAAACTTGGGGAAAGTGTCCAACAGCTGCTAGCCACCAAAATTGCTGTTTATCTGATGACCTTTTTAATAGTAACAGTTGCTTGGGCAGCTCATGTGAGGTATGAAGTTTGCAGTGTTTTAGAAACTGAACATGTATCAAGCATTTGAAAACGGTAACTTAACCAGTTGGATGGTATTAGAAATGCAACAGCAATATACCAATAGCTAGTCTGGCCAAAGAAAGCAGGTGTGATGATGGGCAGCTCACTTATCATAATTTATTTCAGCCTCATTTCATTATGATCAGCTTTATTCTTTCTACACAATTCTGCTCCATGCTGAAGTTACTGCTGAGCTTATAAACAAACTTTATCCACAGAATTTTACAGACTGGTTTGCAAAATTTGCTAAACCCAGCCTTACAATTTAGATTACTTGACTCTCCCAACCAGTTAGACATGTCTTCAAAATAAGGCCACTTAAGAACACAGATAAATTCCATCAGCAACCCAGTTCTCAAGGAGAAAAGCACTAAGTACTTTCCCAAATCCTTCGTTAGGTTATAAGATTTGTCACCCTTCAAGTTGTCAAAGCTTGCAAACATATTGCATTAAACAGTTGTTTGTTGATCCTGCTATACTGGCCCTCTTGACATGTAATGATAAATCATTAACCATGATTTTTCAGACCATAACAAGTAAATTTGTGTGTCTTGTGTAGCCAGAAGCAGAGATATGATGATGTACCTTAATGTGCAGATGCAGCCATTCATTCATATTTTGGGAAAATGGCATTGATGATTGAAGCAGTTCATACATGAAAACCAATCAAGATCAGTCAGACACAAGATTTTTTTTTAAAATCAAAGAAGAACAAGAACTTTTCAAATGATAACAATGACAGTTGCAATGATATTTGCTTGATTTACTGTCAACATCTGTACTTGATTCCTTTTCCTTCTTCAGAAGAGACAGAATTCTGTAATTTATGTTATTGTATTAATTAAGTGAAGAAAGCAATTTGATGTAGTGGTTATGGCACCAGGTTTGAGATTAGGAGCCATGCCTTGGGCTCAGAACCAGCTCCCTCTCTCAGCCTTAGGAAGGAGGTAGTAGCAAACCATTTCCAAAAATGTTGGCAAGAAAATATCTTTTCCAGGCAAACTCTAACAGTCAAGATTCACTAGAAGGCTTTATTTACTCAAAGTAGATGAATAGAATGGAATGGAATGGAACGGAACGGAACAGAACAGAACAGAATATAATTCTTTATTGGCCAAATGTGATTGGACACACAAGGAATTTGTCTGGTGCATATGCTCTCAGTGTACATAAGGAGAATAAAATACATTCATCAAGAATAAAAAGATACAACACTTAGCAATAGTCAAGGTTATTAATAAGCTATCAAATCATACTAGGAAAGAAATAAAAACAATACAAATTGAAAGATACAAGCAACATGGTTATAGTCATAAAGTGGGAAGAGATAGATACTAGGGAGGAAGAGAAGAATAATAGTAATACAGTCTTAGTAAAATATGTGACAGTGTTGTGGGAATTAGTTGAATTAGAATAAATAAATGACAAATAGAGGAAGGGTTCTGCTATCTTATCTGAAACTCATTATAGGTGAAATATGGTAAACCTTAGTAAAGTAATGAGCTGAGTCCTTTGCATGTGCCAGAGGGAGAGAGAGAGCAAGATTCCAGAGAATTACCCTGCAAACTCAACACAGGAAGGAGATAGTAATTCCTTTAAGGTAAGTTTTCCTTTCTCTGTATCATAGAACAAACAAGAATTGGAGCAAAGTGTTGGATGACTTCACCAGAAAGTCTTGATACTCCAGATGATTGGAATTGAGGATGTCTAATCTGTTGACTTCAAAGGCATTTTAGGAAGGGTAGTTCCTGAATTTTAACTGGCAGTTTCCTTCGCATCTTGTTCTTGTTTCCATTTTTGCTACAAGGGAGAATATTTGATGGGCTTCGAGGGGAGGAGCTGCCGCCGTCGGGGGCTCAATAAAGCTCCTGCCAGGACTCTGGTTCGTATATCTTATAAGATCTATAGATATCTCCCCTTTCTGGCAGAAAGGGGCAGGGAGAAGGTCAGTCGTTAGGATCTCTTTGTAATTCATAGCTTTTCTTTTTGCTGTGAATGGAGAAGAGGTTCAACATTAGCTGAGCTTTTACTCCAGCCAGTTCTCCGCAGCTGCCTTTTTTGCAGCCCTAGGCAGATTGCCCCCCCCCCCCCAGGACAAAGCTAAGCTATTTAAAAGTCAATCCGGGCGGGGACCATTCCCGAGGAATTTCTTCCATTACTATCTAAAATACCAGCTTCAACTTCGCAAAAGGCTCCCTTTTTTTAGCTGCGTCACAAGATGGCGATCTTATAGCTTTTGTGTTTGATGTGACGTACTTAGTCAGCCCTACCCTCCTGAAGGCTTCTCCGTATTAATTGTTAAAAGATTAACTGAGGGGAGCAGAGACTTTGATTTTTGGCTTGCTTGATTGCTTGTC